AACTGTTCATAGGTTGACGAAATACAATATAAAAACACCATGGGAAGTCTTAAAACAACCTACATATAATACTGCAAACAGCGGAGAGATTTGGTTAAACATTGAAAGTGTGCAATATACTCGGTCTGTGTTTACAGAAAAGTTAGAAAAACTTCCTCGGAAAACACCTAAAATTAAGGGCCCAGAGGAAAATCAGGTGGCCGGCTGATTGCAAAGCACCAGGAATTCACAGAACTTAGGATTTCTGATTAACATCAACTGTCAACACCCCCATGCCCCTCCCAAAAAAAACAAAAACAAAAAACATCAAATCAATCAAATCAATCTGGTCTTTCCAGAACTCTTTCCAAAAAGTTGTTCTTTGCAGAACAGCTGTTCAAGCTAATGCCAAAAGATAATTCCTTCTTGTGGCTGAAACAAACTAGTGATTCAACAAGAGGTTATTAGAATCCCTGAGTCTCCACAGGACTCTGCTCTTTCCACAGATCCTTGGCTAGACCAGTTCTATTTATTAGAGAGGAAAGGCCAATGAGAGTGGGGAGGAGCTTAGACTCCTCCAAAACACTTTCACTTCTGAACTTGACCTATCCTTCCAACAACTTGTGGTATTTATTATATAATCGTACAGTTCCAAAAGTAAAAACAAAAGTATACAGGAGAAAGTGACAATGAAGAGCTCTATGGTTTTTCCCAGAAACCCAGAGGACGGACAGGGCTTTGCTGACTCCACACTCAGTGCCCAGTTTTGTATATTCCCTGGGTACAATAAGCCCTGACATGTGAATTGAGCCAGGAGGGCCTTTTCCCCTTCCAGGTAATTCTGTTCCACAACACAGTAGTTTTCTATGTTCTCAGATCACTTTCTGGTGACTCCAAGTACAAGAAGGAAGGTACTAGAGCAAGTCCACAGGGATAATGGAGAAAGGCCAAATCCCACATAGGAGGTAAGAGTAGCAGGGAACACAAATACAAATTCCTCTGATTATAAACCTTAGGAGTACTGTGATCAAAACACTGGGTGGGTCTACCTTTGCCTTTGTTTAAACGGTTTTTGGTTTGTTGGCTTTGTGTTTTCAACCATTTTTTTTTTAAGTGGCAGTAAAGTATGCCAGTGACTAAGCACAAGGGATCTGAAGCCAGACCTTCCAGATTCACTGATTCTGCCACTTAACTTTACAGGTAATCCTAGGCAAAGTACTTAATTTCTCTGTGCCTCAGTTTCCTCATCTACATAAAATGTAGATAATAGCAGTATGTTATGTACTAGGTAATTTCCCTGTTAAACAATGTTGTAGATAAAATAATACAAAGAGTAAATTAACAATGAAATATATTTAGCAACTAACTCATAGTAAATTGCTCAATAAGTGAATGCTATTATCGCTATTATCATTTAAAAATAAGGAAATAAGGCTGTATTATTACTTAAATTATGTTTACAGGTAGAGTTCTAAGCTTTCTAGCTTTCCACTAGTACCAGGTGAGAAAGATACGTGGTCATGTATTGTATAATGATGTTTCAGTCAACGACGACTGCAAATACAACGTTGGTCCCTTAAGACTGTAACAGCGTATTTTTACTAAATCTTTTCTATGTTTAAAGACACAAATACCACTGTGCTCCAATTGCCTGCAGCATTCAGTACAGCACCGTCCTGCAGAGGTGTGCAGCCTTGGAGCAATGGGCTGTACCACAGAGCCTACACGTGTAGTAGCTATGCCATCTTGGTATGTGTGAGTACACTCTATGATGTTTGCAAAATGATGAAATCATCTATCGATGCATTTCTCAGAATGTATCCTGTGCCACTCATTAAGTGATGCATGACTGTGCTCTAATCGAACCCCTAATATACAATGAGAGTTCTAGAAAGTTCTACTAACGCATAAAGCATCAGGTTCAATCTACTGTACATCGAGATGGAGGTCACTTGGTTAGAATACTGTATTGAGGCTTATTCCTAAACAAGCCTGCAAGGCCTGGGATAAGAGGACAAATGGAGGCCTACTACATGTAGCTAAAAATTTTAAAATGATCAATCGAGTTAACAACTTGTTAAATAAAATATATTCTATCCTCCTACCTTGACGAACATATTTTCCTAACGACCTGGTTGATTCAGGTTTGAATTTAAAATTCTTAGTCCCTCAGAGTTTTATTCCAAAAGGCAGCAGGGCACAGACAGCTGATTCTCATATCCCAGGCTCTTCCCTTCCACTGCTTCCTGAATCCCGCTCTCTCCAGCACAGGAGGCACCTCACTTTCATTTGAGAGGATATCCCAGCCCTTAGTGCCAGGATCTATCCACGACACTCCCCAACACAGCCCTGGGCCATCACTCAGGCCCAAGGGCACAGTCAATGGTGGCATGTTCCCACCTGGAGGAGATGGACGGACCTTAGGAAACAGACTGTGTGGATGCGGACATGGGCTCAAGGATTCGGGGCAAGGAACTCCAGATGTCCAGAACGTGGTGTAGGAGAGCCCATGAGAGCTGAATAAGCACATTCCCATGTGACCCCTCACCCCATGGGGCCCTCTAAAGTGAGGAGTTCCACTTGCCCAAGTTTAAGAGCAGTACTGTGTGAGTGAGGCCAAGCTATTAGTCCTCTTTTACACTACTTGTTCTATCCTGGGACGTCTTAGCCAAAAGCTGATTGCAGGCCTAGCCCCACACAACTGGTTTCAAAGAGATGCTGGGCTACATCAGCACATATACAAATCATTCCTTAAGAAGACAAGGCACTATTAATTCCCATACAGTCCCATCTCAAGCTGAATCACAGACTGGAGGGACCCATAATTCAAGCAGCTTAAAATATATATATGCACACAAAACACACAACTTAGTACATCTTTATATTCGTAAGGATACAAAAGGTTAACAACAGCGAAAATAGCTGTGCCTGGCTTGCGCTTTCTGCTCCCTTTTACTCTCCCCAGGGCAACTCTGCTTTCCAGAGGACTGCATCTCTAACTCTACTACCCAAAAGAGAAAACGATCAGTTCAGTGTTCACATCTGAAACCTTCCAGAACTAAGCATTATTTTTCCACCGGAACACTGTATGAACAAAAGAAGACACTGAAGTTTTACAAACATATTGGAATATCATCTGGAAATTTGCTAGTGATATTCCCCAAAATTATGTTAGCATTCACACACTTTCATATTCTTTCACTTTTGCTGAGTGGATAGGGCTGCCTTGACTTATGTAATACCTAAGACATTTATCCCATGCCCCAGAAATTTTTTAATTATTATGAATCTACTCAAGTCCAAAGTAATTTGGCTGTTTATGGCAATAAAATGACTTTTTCAAGATTATGTGATTTAAAAGATTGACTCTTTTGACAAAATAATATGTATTCATGATAGGAAATATACACAAATAAAAACAACATAGTTCACTTAAACCCCCCACCAGAGCCCACGGTTCACTGTTACCATTCTGAAGTGACTATGGAATTTCAGGCTAGGTCCAGCTAGAATAATATTAGTTGTTTCTAAGTGAGAATGTGCTTCCATTATAAATGGGGTATGACTACTTCCTCTGCTTTGGCAGAATTCAGAGGCCCATCCATGAATGGTCACAGATTTCCCATCAAAGGAAACCCATCCTCTGGTCATCAGGTGGCCTGTGAGAGCCAAATCACCAGGACCTTCCCAGGGTTGCAGCTCTAATTCTCACCCAGTTACTCGTCATAAATTTTCTTTCTTCTTTTGAATTGTACTGTATAAACTCGAATTATTCTTCAGATATTTTCTTCTCATTTGTATCGTGTTGTACTGTATTTTGGGCTTTGGTACTGAAGGTCTGATCTCAGCAATCTGAAATAGCCTTTGCACCAAAAGAGTCTTCCCCAAATATTCCTTTTTTTTTTTTTTTAAATATTGCTCCCACTATGCAGATGAATCAAAGATTCATTTCTTTGGCGGAGGACTCTCCATCTGTCCACTTAGCTCCCTCCCAACTCAGATACAGATTAGGTTTCTTTCAATAACATAAGGAATGTTCTCCAAAAGCTCTGGCAACTGTGGATAAAAAGGGCTTCTTTGGGCTATTACAGAACATGTGACTTTGCCAAATCAAACTTTTATTTATAAGATATGGAAGAATCAGTTATTTATGTGATTCAAGACATGCAAATTCTAAGATAGTAGGACCTAGTCAGATGTCCACATAAACTTGAGGGACTTTTTAAAGCTTAGGATTTTAACTATAACCTACTTAACTCCAACAAAATAGACCAAATAGCTAATATTTTCAGAACACTTACTCTGTACCAGGCACTAAGTACTTTATACATGTGAAATTACTCAATCCTCTCAGTTCTAACTTTACAAATGAGGAGATGGAGACACAGAGCAGATAAGGAATTTGCCCAGGATCACAGGTGAAGTGGCAGAGGCTCACCCTGCTTCTCAATCCTCACCCTAGCTGCCAACAGACACCACCCCCTATGCCAGGCTGCTACCCATCTTGAGCAGCAGTCCCTTGCTACCAGGCTCAGGGTAGTCAAGCCAGCAGTGTCACACAGGTAGGATGCATCATACAGTCAGCAGGCTTTTGTGAGCTAGCCTGAGAATCTTTTACAACACTAAAATGTGAGTGCATCTTCCCACAGGAAGAAACACTGGACTTCCAATACTGATAATAACAGCAGTAACTAACATCCTAAGAGCATTACCTATGTTAATTCTTTGAATATTCAGAATACCATGAGGTAGGTGTTATTATTACCCCTATTTTATAGACGAAGAAACTGAGGCACAGAGAGGCTTTGCAAATAACCAACAGTTTAGTAAGTGGGAGATCTGAGATTCCAACCTGGGCAGCCTGGCTTCAGAGTCTTGGCTACCAGGGTTCTTAACCATCACATTATGCTGCCCTCAAACTGCTTATTTCACCTTTCTCCATAAGTATGCAGGCTAGCAGACAACCACATTAGCAATTATGAACACAAGGGTCAGTCGACAAGATGCGTAACCCCACTCACCGTTGGGAAGTCCTCCAGCACCTGGCGATCCTTCTCCTTGCTCTCCATGAACCGCCAGTCTGGTTGGTAAAGGAAAGAGTGAAAGTTGTGTAACAGCGGGACCTTCTTTTCCACACTGATGGTCATGTCATCTTCCAGTGTGTCCAGAGCTCGGAGAACCAGATAAAATATGCACACTGCGTTGCTGTAAAAAAGGAAAACCTATTAATATATTGGAACAAACAGCCAAAGTTATTTTATTTTAAAATTACTTATGCCAGGCCATTTTCTAAACCCATCTACACCCTTAACTCTAAAGAACTATAAGGATATCCAAAGTTTTTCATACTTAACGAAACTTACATTAGTTTTCCTTTCTTACATGAGACTAATGAACTTCTGTAGTTTGTTTATTAAAAAATAAAAAGCCTACTAGTTGGGTGTCACTAGTACTCCCAGCAGTGAGTTGCATTTAACTAATGTAGAACAACTATAGAGACCAAAAGACTGAACTAATATTTGGCAAATAGAAAAGAAAGTCAGAAAACACAGTAACTTCTCGGTATAAATACGATCATACATAAAGGCAACTGGTGTTAAGTTCATGGGTGTAATCTGCACAGAGATAGCTTCAAAAGAATCAACCCAATATGCTAGAAATAGAAATGCAAAGTTGGATAAGAGAAGCCGAGAAAATACACGACCTGCTCACAGACAGGTTCAGCTGCCAGGACTAAAAAAAGTTAATAAACATCACCCCCTCCCCCCTTCTCTGAAAGGCTGGGCCCAAAGGGACACTACTAGATGGCAGAGAGCCTGGAAGGGCTTTCTAAAGTAAACACATAGGGCAGGGCTATGTTCTGGGCAAGCCACAGCAACGAGGCTGCAACGCTGAGCGCTATATCAACACGTAGCCTCCAACCACTCAAAGCTCCCCGACAAGCTTTCCCCCAAGCCAGAGGCGCTGCCTCCATCACTCACCGCATTTCCCCATCCAGCGCCTGGATAACAGCTGCGAAACTGCGACTGGTCTGATTGAGATACTTGTAGCAAGTTTTCAGGCTGCTGCTGAGCGAGTCCTGCGGGCAGACAAGACACACGGCGGTGGGAGACGTCGAGGAGCAGGAGTGGGAGTGGGACTGGGGCAGGCGGCTCCACAGCCTGCCGCCCTCTCCCCGGGGCCAGTCCTTGCAGGGCCAGGCTGCAGGAGGCAAGCAGCAGCCCCGCGGGGCGGTGCCTGCGCCCGGGCCCCTGGGCGCCGCGGCGGGACTCAGCACCAACGTGCGCTTGAAGAGGGCCATGGCCTTGGTGCCGCAGGCGGCTGCGGCCATGGGAATCGCGGACCCCGCGGAGTTTTTCCTCCATAGACTCGAGCGGATCTGGGAAGCGCCCAACAAGGGGCGGGACGGGCTAGCCCTCTACTCGAATACGCGCTGGGCCGACCCAGAACGGGCCCGCCCCGCACGTGGAGGCCGCTGCCGGCCCGCAGCCCCGCCCCCGGTCTCCCGCTCCGCACCCCTTCCGCACCTGGCGCCTGCTTCCTCCCGGTCTTGCCCTTCTCAACGGAACCCACCTGCCGCTAAGGGAACCCAGCGCACTTCAGCTCGCTTTTCCTCCCCGTGACAGAGTCTCCCTAGACCAAACTCTACTCGGGCTCCGCTGAATCCTCTTCCCAACAAGGCCTGGACTTTGTACTCAACGCGTCTGTCTTTGCATCGCCCAATTTTACCAAGAATCCTGCTAAATTGATTTGACTAGAATCCCCCAATTTCAATATCTGATCACCCTAGACACCTGATCAGGTTCCACATCCCCCTGCATCCCTGAGGTGATGTCTGATAACTCCGGCCTGCCTTCAAGAATCCTTACCCCTGTGTTTCCTCGTAATAATTTTCCATCCACTGACATCCGGCTCCTCCGTCATCAATTCCTACTTTTCCTTGTATTCGGAATGGAGCCCAGTTCTGTACTGAGGTCTCTCTCCTCTTACTGTAATAGTTGTTCTGAATAAAATCTGTGTGTTGCCGTTTTACTACCACTGTCCAGCTATGGTTTTTCTCTGACACCCGTTTTCAGAGAAAACTATGGTTTTTCTCTGACACCTGTTAAACCTCTACTATTCTCTAGAAAGCCAGCCATTTCTGTCTTCTCATCTTTCCCTTCGAAATTAATGGAAATGCAGTGCACTGACCTTTACTCTTCCCTAAAGCAAACAAGGACTGTGTTTTTCCAAAAGGGAAAAAAAGCCTCATTTTAAATGCAAGCATATCAGAAAGAGTTGCTGTTTGAAGTGTGTATATTTTCATAGACTATTTTTCAGAGCAGTTTTAGGCCCACAGGGAGTCGAAAGTACCGCGGGTTCCTATTCCCCACTTCCCTCTCCTCACCCCACAGTCTCACAACAGTTCTTTTTGGGAGAGAGATGGGAATCATTTATCTAACAGGGCCGGGTGTGGTGTCTCACGCCTGTAATCCCAGTACTTTGGGAGGCCAAGGTGGGAGAATTACTTGAGTCCAGGAATTTGAGGGCAGCCTGGGCAACATAGTGAGACCTCGTCTTCACAAAAAAGTTAAAAAAAATTTTTTTTTAAAAAGCCAGGCATGGTGGCGCCCACCTGTAGTCCTAGCTACTCAAGACTAGCTACTCAGGAGGCTGAGGTGGGAGGATCGCTTGAGCCCAGGAGATACAGGTTACAGTGAACTATGATATTGTATACTACTGAGTGAGACCCCATCTCAATAAAAATTTAAAAACCCACAAATATCTAATAGGAGTGGTTAAAAAAAATATGGCATATCCACTGCTAGGAAATTCCACAGTCACTTCAGAATGGTAACAGTGAACCCTGGGCTCTGGTGGGGGGTTTAGGTGAACTATGTTGTTTTTATTTGTGTATATTTCCTATCATGAATACATATTATTTTGCCAAAATAGTCAATCTTTTAAATCACATAATTCTGAAAAAGTCATTTTATTGCCATAAAAATTATTAGTAAAAACAAATATTTACTGGGCACCATAATATTAGTAAAGTTCAGTGTCTGGCACATAAACATATTTGGTGAAGGTGTGATGAATAAACGAAGACATTCATCGAGTATTTTAAAACAATTCACCAACTCCTTCCCTCTCAAAATATGGGGAGGCAAGATTTCAGAGTGAAAGAAACAGAATAGCTGCTCCGGACTGAGCTCCAGATCAGCTCTTCACATAGCCTGACCATTACCAGGCTACAGCAGGCAGTGTTTTTAACTGCACTGCCAAATGTCATGTTCAGTCCAACCAAGAGTTTGGGGGCTGATGTTAAGCCAGGAGTTTCAATCAATGCCAAGACACAGTCCCCCTAGATTTGAACACCAACACTCTTCAAGAACACTACCCCTCCTTTGCATACAGTTCTCCACTCTGAAAGGGAGCAAGCTAAGCCACTTACTCCTCCAGCTCGTACCCCTGCTGCTCTTTTTCCTGTCACCTATTTGTTTCAGTGCCTTACCTTGTAACAACAGTTTCTTCAAATCACCAAGAAGAAAACAGGAAGACACAACCAGTAAGCACACTATGGAAAACACCACTCACTAAAAATTTCCATGAGCTAAGGGAGAAAGAAAGCTCAGGCTACTGCTGCCTGTCCCTCCTGGGTTTTCTATTGCAGTCTGAGATTCACGGCACTCCCAAGAGCTCGCAAGTGGGAGAAAACAGGGATGGAGGGAATTTAGAGGAGGGGTGTGGGGTGGTCAGGAGGACAAGAGCAGACTCCCAGGAAGGGGCTCCAGCCTTAGGCTGAAAGTTCCACAAGTGAACAGCTACCAGCTACCGGCCCTCTATGCAGCCTTCCTCACTTTAAAATAGAATAGGTTTCTCCAGGAGGGGAAAAATACCACAAACTTGAGAACTGAATTTACATAATCAGATTGATAACCACCATTTATCAGGCACCTAACTCCATGCCAAGCACAATGTGGATATCGCCTGTTATCCTTACTCAACCCTTTAAGGTCTCAAAGGCCCACAGTCCACTGAAACATTTGTGGCAAGACCTGGGGCAGAATTCAGCATTTTTAGTGTTTTAGAAAATAGGTAATAAAACGCATATACAACCCCAGTCAGTGTGCAGTAGCATCTCATAATTATTTCTTTAGCAAAACATTTGAATATTTATACTAAGTGGGATGAATGAAGCCTCAACTTCAAGTCAGGTTTTGCTGCCAAGCGATTTTGAGCCAAATTGACAAAAAATCGTTTTCAGACCATCTTAGAGTTGGGAAGTTGTGGTTAAAAAATCGTGACCATACATACATCCCTATTTTACAGATGAAGTAACTGTGGCTCAGAGGTTAAGTTACCAAGGTTGTTCACCAAATTTAATAGAGTCAGAAACTGGACTTAATAATAATAGACTTAAGATACTAGTCTAAATAACAGGATTTAGATTTGATAGAAGCCAGATCTGCCTGATTACAAACAGCCTGCTTTTTCCATCACTTGGCTTTTGGGTGATGCCACACACCTTGCAGGCAGCATATGCCCCTAGATTTACTGATATGCTCCTAAAAATGCAATATAAATCAAGTTTACTAAACCCTGAAATTCTATAGCCAAATCCTTCTGCGATAGAAATAATCAGCCCTCAATATCTGCTAAGTGTAAATTTTTTCCCTAGTTTGTAGAGAGAAACTGGTTGGGTGCAGTGGCTCACACCTGTAATCCCAGCACTTTGAGGCTGACGTGGGAGAATCGCTTGAGCTCAGGAGTTCAAGACCAGCCTGGGCAATGTAGCGAGACATCGTGTCTACAAAAAAATTTAAAAATTAGCCAGGCATTGGTGGCACGTGCCTGTAGTCCTAGCTACTAAGGATCAGGAAGCTGTGGTGGGAGGATGGTTTGAGCCAGGGAAGTCAAGACTGCAGTGAGTCATGTTCAGGCCACAGCATTCTAGCCTGGATGACAGAGTGAGACCCCGTCTCCAAAAAAAAAAAAAAAAAAGCCGGTGCAGTGGCTCTCACCTGTAATACTAGCACTTTGGGAGACCACGGGCAGATCACTTGAAGTCAGGAGTTCAAAACCAGCCTCGCCAACGTGGTGAAACCCCGTCTCTACTAAAAATACCAAAAAATCAGCTGGGTGTGGTAGCAGGCGCCTGTAATCCCAGCTACTCGGGAGGCTGAGGCAGGAGAATTGCTTGAACTCAGGAGGCGGAGGCTGCAGCGAGCTGAGGTCGCGCCACTGCACTCCAGCCTGGGCAACAGAGCGAGACTCCACCTCAAGAAAAAAAAAAAAAAAGAGAGAGAGAGAGAGAAGCTAAGCTAATGTTAAGTGAAGGGAAATGTATTTTCCAATTTGTTTCCCCTAATTACAACTCAGTTATTTTTTTAACGGCTCATGGGGATTTAAAAAGTGCCCAGAAAGACTACAACAAAACAAATAATACTGTACCATATTATCAGAGCTAGAAGGAATAGCTCAAGTCTCACTTTAAAAAAAAATTCAGTATACTGTGAAGTCTTTCGCTACTCACTTACCATGACCACCCACTTTCCCTCCCAACAGGTAACCAATGCTACCATTTTCTCTAATAGTCTCTTTCTGTAGAAAGGAAAGAGACAGAGGAATGAAGTCTCTGGACCCAAATAAGCTCTGACTGCACTCAGATCCCTTGCCCTGCTAGCATCTTCCTCTACGGTGCTTTTCTCCACCTGAAAAACTGTACATTTGTTTTTTTGAATTGTCTCTCTTCCACTAAAAAATAAGTTTTATAAAAGCAAGGTCTTCACCTATCTTGTTCACTGTTGTATCTCTAGCACCTAAAACACAATCTGATATACAATTGGTGGTCAAATATTTGTTAAATAAATGAATGCTACATCTAAATATAAAAAGTGACATCTGCCCTATCAAATAATAAAGGTTATTCTGCAGCAAAATAATTAAAATAATGTAGCACCGGCAAAGAAAAGATGGAGAAAATGGAATATTCTACAAATAGGCTGAAGGATGTACCTGTCCTAAAGCTGGCATGTGAAAGATAACATCAAACGAGGGTGTAGTCTACTGGGGACAAAAACCAGAAATTTATTTTCTGGTGTGTTTACTGAAGCACATGGACACTCACAGAAAGACTCAGGCACCTATCAAGCCTCGGCCTAAGTCACCTCGGCCTGAGTCACATTTGCTACTGTCCTGTTGGCCCAAAAAAGTCACAGAAATCAGCCAGGCTGGTCCAGACCAGAAGAACTTGGTTGAATGTGTCTATTCATTCAATAATCACATAGAATAATTTTCTTGTTGGAATAAAAACACCTCTTATGCATTCATTTAATAAATAGTACAGGTATGAGGCAGATAAAATGTAAGTAAAACCAAGTTCTGACCTTCCACCAACCACCTAGCTAATCGGTAGACGTACAGATAACTCAGAACTCGGAAGTGTAGATAGGCGATTTTAAAACTCAGGAAGCGCTGAGGATGAAGCGGTGGACAGCAGCAAGGCGGGGAGAGCTCTGGAGGAGGTGAAACTGGAGGAGTGAGATTTCATTCCAGAAACGGTGTTCATGTGATGTTACCTGCATAGTTCATTTTGCTTACCAAAACACTCACTCGTCCTCTCCCACGTAACCCACCTACATCGCCTCAGATGTGCAACCCGCGGGTTAGAACACTGGTAAGCGCCGATGCTCACGGAAGGGACGAAACGGGGAGCGCAACCGCCGGGAACCACGCAGAAGCCGCTCAGGCCCAGGGCGGCTTGCGTGGGCAGGGACAGGCCTGCCAGGAGGGCCGCGTCCACCCGGGCCCGACGTGGGGAAGGCTGGAGGTAAGGGGGATGGGAACGCCCAGGCGTCGGCCCTGCTCGCTGCGCCCCTTGCCCCAGATCCGGGCCCGGCCGCTCAGGCCCTGATGCCGTCCCGGCGCGCTGCCTCCCCGACCCAGGAAGCAGGGATGCTCGGCCCACCTGGTCCATCTTGGGCATCACCTTCCGCTTGCCCCCGATCCGGAAGCGCACCAGGTTGTAGAACTCTTCGGGGTGGCCCAGGCACTTCACGAACTCCATCCTGGCGCAGGTGGCGGACTCTCGGGCGCGGCACTCACCTCTGCGGACCCCAGGCTCTCACCGGCCGGCCGGACCTGTGGAGTAGGCGCGCCCGGGGCTGGCCGGGCAGGGGGCGGGCCCAGCACGACGACGCCCCGCCCGCCGCTCCGCCCACTTCAACGGGCCTCGGGCACTAGCGTGGCTACCTGCGGCTGGCGGGGTGGACTGACGGGCGCTGATTCGCCAGCACCGCTCGCACTAGGAAGACGCCGGCCAATCAGTGGCGGAAGGAGCCTGGCGTGACAACACCCTAGAAGCTCATTGGAGGCGGAGAAAGAGGCCGACGAGCGGGATTGGTGCCCTGATGGAGCCGGGCCTTTGTTTTCTGCAGCTTACGCCGCC